CCATCTAAATACAGCCACCATGGTAGGAGATTCCCCCACTATCAGGCAGAGGAGCATGACACCACCGGTGCTATGCTGTTACGGTGGCTAGCTTCATCAACGTGCACGTACATACATTCCGCAGACAAAGCGTACATACAGTGCCAGAAAAAGAAAGTGATGCAGTAAGTACTAGTTCGCCTGTTTTTTTTTTACTACAGAAGTGTGCAGTGTAGTATCCTCGCCGCACGGGAATATCAGCCGGTACCACTTTATCACAAAATATAGTGAGCAACTAGAATTGATGACGAGAGTGTCACCATCACGACAAATCACTGTCCCTTCGAATCTATATGCATAGACGCAGTCCGTTTTGTAAAGCTTCTCTCCGTTTTCTAGTGCCATTTATGTGAGAGTACAATTCGGATGATGTTTTTAAACAAAAGTGCAGTATTACTGGTGCAATGGCTTTCAGAGCTGTTCGTTCCGTAATGAAGCACGGCAATGGCACGCTTGCTTGCTCTCCCTGCGGCCGATCGTCTGGGTGAGAGTGGCCGAGTTGTGTCGTGACTCTCTGCCAGAAGCTGTTTTTCGGCGATCCACCTATCGAGGTTTGGTCTCCTATGAAACCAAGACTTCGGATTGATGTAGGTCCCCAAGACGCGTGAAATTTCGGAGGATCGATTATTGCGAAAAGAACAACATAGAGAACCGCGTCAGCACATATTTCATAGCATGTGGAGATACCATTTTAAACTAATAGAGGAGTCTTGTAATTATCCACAAGTGTCAGTGGTGAAATTGAATTTGCATAGATTATTTCATCTTGCGTTGTCTATCTGGTGGTCAGTCATCTTCTTGTGTAGTATTAGTTGACGTGTGCCCAAGAATGATGCAGAGTTGAAAGTGCTTTCGTGTGTCTTGTTGGCCTGTTATAAATTTATAGAGCCATAGGCCATTGCTGCAGACTAGTTCACCTGGCTGGCAACCCTGTAAGCCAAGTTTGGTAATCATGAAAGACATTTTGTGTATTTGTAAATTAGTCAAACAAGCTTGATTCAATTCACTTTCATTGAAACCCATTGCTGGATACTTTGGTCTGTGGCAGATTTTCTTTGCACAGTGACTGTTGAAGTATTTGTTCATTTCTTTTCGTAATGTGCATATGGCATTTGATCTCTATATTACTACATAACGTTTACAGTCATTGATTTTCATTGGTTTAGCTTGCATATATGTTATGCTGCAGTGCTTAAAACTTATTCTGTAGTGTTTATTTCTATTCACGTATGCAGGTGTCTGAAAAAGCTCAGCATTTTATGAAGACCTGGCTGTTGAAGTTTGTTGGCGTCAATGGAGGTTAGGAAAGGCATTCTCAGGTGTGTTCATAGATTTGCAGCCTGATCGCGGCTGCCCCTCAGAGCAGGAATCTGCGGCAGCCTGTGATAGTTTGCTTCAAGCCAAATCGCTGCTTTCAGGACCCTGTGCAGCGTACCGTGCTGCCTCATCTCCTGCTGCAACCTTTAAATCATCACCCCACCCCTGCTAGCCTGGCAAGCCGTATGCCCATAGAGCCTTGCTGAGCTCACCCCCTAGTGTGGGCTGTATTACTGAACAGCAGTAAATTAAAAAACTGAACCAAAAGTAAATGGTTTGACTTGGTACATTTAGAAATAAAGTTATAAATACTGTGTTCTGGTAGACTTATTTATAGACTTCTTTTGTGCAGGATATTTGCACTGAGCAGTTATTTTAGGTAATGTTTTTACAGCTAATACAGTAATACTTGATGGAACAGCCTAGGGGACAATTTCTCGCATAGACTTAGAAGGAATGTGTGGAGAAAACTAGACAGTAACAATAGTTGTGCAGTCTGACACTTTACATTGGGGGGAGGGTGCAAGACGCAAGAAAGAAAGGGATAATTGGACAATGGCCCAAAATCGTGTAGTGTTCTTACATTAAGTCATCCAGTGGTCAGTCGCCTTGAAGTATACTACACCACAATGTTCGTACACGGCTGCTATAGGCTGCTAGACGAAGTTCTGGAGGCGTAATGTAAAGTCTACTGACTAAAGAATACCAGTAGTAAAAAGGCCGTATTATTAACGGTGGAATATTGGCAAGCCAGTGGTAGCCAATTTTCGTCGTAAAGCAAAATGTTGGCACAATAATGGCATTTTACGGCAACAATGTGGCCCGAGATTAGCCCTATGCTGGATGTATGTCGGCAACTACGTCTCGGAAAGGACGAGTCTTTGTCAGCATGTGTAGAGTTGGCTCGCGTTGGCTGAATATTGGCAAATGCAAGAGCTGAAGGTCAGACCTAGGTTGATTTGACCATTGGTCTGACTTCAGAAAAAGTTGCACTTGAGGGAAAAACCGCCCTCGGGCCGATATCAGGGCCCACGTAAGCCGAATTGGGTCCAAGATGGGTCCAACGCTGGTGTGCTGCCTGCGAAGGTTTATATTTTGTCACTAGGAGAATGCCGCATTTCTCGCCTATTTCGCATGCGCATGTCTTATCCCCGCAGCCTCTCTTAAACTCCAGCGCACTTAAAATCCGGTCATCTTCCTGCATAGAATAGTGCCGACCCATTCGAGTGTTCTAGCACTCATATACTTCATTGCATCTTCTGTAAACCGTACCCAGCAATTTGACCCCCTAAATATTATGCCCGTTAGATATATTCTAAACTGTTTTCATTTTTCCCCACAAAACGTGTATTTGTGGAATGAGCTTGTTAAATCTTTGCGCAGACGCGGTTAGGAATAATTTAAAAAGAAGTGCGTGAACATGCATTCAATTAAACTGTAGTTTTTAAGGTGCTGAACCTTTGTATTTACACCTGCTAAGTCTCGAAAACTGAGGCAGCAGTGTTTGCAAATAGAAAAACATAAAAGCATGATGCTATACTGTTACCTGCTTTGCTCTTCTAGGGAAGCAGATTTACATTTCAATTCTAGGAAAAAATTTTTATCCTGACGAACCAACAAATCTACACCAACTCCACCCCGCTCCACGCTGCCGCCGATCCGGTGAACCGCATGCCGTTGACGTGCCGACGCCGGTGATCTTGGCGCTAGTGCACAGGTCTATATAGAACCCGATCGTCAGCCAGGTATTGGAATAAAACCTTTTTTGTAAGAAGTGTATAAGTTTGGGTAGCCGTCAGACAAGTTATTAAAAAAATGCAAGGATACTTTCGGTAGATACAGAAGGGTGGTCGACATTTCCGGAGCCCTGCACTACGGCGTCCCTCATAATTATATAGTGGTTTTGGGACGTTAAACCCCACAAATTAATTTAGATACGGAAGTGTGCCCCACCTAGAATCAATATGGGAAATAACGCTGGCTTATTCCCGTACGTATCAATAAACGAAGCGAGATCACGCGAAGCGTAAATCAGCAGTATCATTTATTGTGAACTAGCTAGCCCTGAACGACAGCAGGACAGAATACTAGGTGCGAAGCGGGCAGCCGTTGCATAGAGAAACGCTTTATGGACATGTATCCATGTGTATCACATGGGGGATATCTATAGTTTTTTTTTTCTCTTGGTATTATTAACAAAACCGAAGAGAGTACTTTGGAGCACAGATCAGACAATTACCCTGCATCCGTTGGTCTGATGACCTGCATTCCTTTGGGTCAGGTGTACTGACCCCGTTTTTTCTAGTTTCTGTATATGAAGTTATGTTCTTTCAAGTAACCACTTCTTCTTCGAAGGTGAATTATGTTTGGTAGCATTATCAGCATATTTATTGTCGTCTTAGGAATACAATTTCTTTGTGTTGGCTGATTTCATTGTAGTTAGCTTTTCAGTCATACGGAAGCACCAAAGGGGATTAAAACAAACCTATAAAAACCTACATTGTGTTTGCGCAAGGCTCTGATTTGAAATCTGTGCTTAAAGCGTCACCAATGCTTTATTGCACGTGTTCTTAGCCGCTCTTTGCGGTCGGGTGCTTGTTTCTTATGGTTTTGGGCGAGCGTTTTTAAGTGATGGTAAAATTGGCCACTTTTGATTTTGATTTTTTATTTATAATTGAAGTTTAGCGTCCCAAAACCACCACATAATTATGAGAGACACTTTAGTAGAGGGATCCGGATATTTTGACCACTTCGAGTTCTTTAATGCGCTCCCAAATCTGAGCCCTTGGGCCTGCAGCTTTTTTGCCCCCATTGAAAATGCAGTCGCCGTCACCGAGATTTGATCCCTTAACCTGAGGGTTAGTAGCCAAGTACCTTAGTCACTGGACCACCGCGGCTGGACAAATACTGGCCAGTTTTCACGACGCTAAAATTCATTATACTATACGTTATTATGTTGACCATTCAGCCTCTACATTGTCAGACTCAAAGCAACAAATACAATACTAAGCTCACAAGCAGTCATTTCGCTTTCAGGTGTTATTTCAAGATATCTTCCGGAGTGGTTGCACAAAAAAAAAGCACGATACTTAGTTCTTTTTAGGTGCGGTTTGCTAATTTCGCTGCATACAACTTTGAATTATGTGCCTCTTTGCACAAAAGAAACGCGCAATGCTTAGTTCTTTTAAGGTGTAGTTTGCTAATTTTGCTGCATACAACTTTGAAATTATTCATCATCTACAAGTAACAAACATTGCGTTCGATCGTTCTGATGACCATTGTTGCGTGAACACTTTGCATTCACATAATTTTGTTCATATTTCGGCATCGGTTGGGAACGAAGCACTGCTTGAACGTATAACAATAGTAAAAGAGAGGTAATAAAAGTAAACAAACGTGAATTGCATGAGAATAGGCTTTGCACAAGTTGAAGATAGAGCAAATTGTGAGCAACCAACGCATTTCTGTTTTATGGCGTTTTCTCAAAAAAAAAAAAAAACCTTGATATTTTTAGTGCGTGTGGTGAACATGCAATATCATTTTTTTCAGGTATAGATGCCTTTCACAGCTCGCAAAACACTTCCCGTTACGACTGAAGCAGCAGCACGTGTTAGCAATTTGCTTCGTTAAGTTTATTCTACCGATTTGGCAAGTAAACCCGTAAAACAGAGGTACCCAGGCACCGTGACAAGCTGCTGCATTTGATGCTGCTTATCGGACTAAACCCTATCAATGCATTTTGAGAGTAACGGATAAATCTAACCGGTGTTTTATTCATTGCAATGATTTTGACCACTAGGAAGAATTCAGTAACACACTGATTCCAGCCAGACCTTGACATGAATGCCCACGCCATGTGGTCGTCGCCATGGCTGTTTGTATCCGCCGTAGCGGTAGCGTTGTTGCTAATGCAGTGTGAAGGAGGGAATGGCGGCAACTCCTCGAGACAGCGACCAACTGGCCGGCCCACTCACACAGGCGAAGATGAGCCCGCGCAAAACACAGAATCGACCACAACGCCGCCACCACTGCAGCCGTCGTGCGTCCAGCAACGCCGGACTCCCAGCCTGAAAGAGTTCTGCGCGCAGATTTTCCGCTTCGTGGCTGACGCAGTTCTGGATGTTTTCTTCACGGATATTCTTGGCTTGACGGGAAGATTCTAAAGGTTAGTAGTGACGCAATATATAATAGAGAGAATTTAGAACCCCTGTGTATTGTTTTATTGGGCATTCACGGCTTAATCGCGCTGTTATAAGCCGTAAGTAATACAGCTATTGCAACAAAGTACCCGCGTTAAAAGTTGGATTCCTTTCGAACGAAGCCTTAGTCCTAGTAGAATTGTGAGGTATTATTAGCCATTTCTGAGACAACTATAATTTGCCATTTCAGAGGACTTAAGTCAAACAGCAACGTACATTTCTTTTCTGCCACTCGGCTAGAGTGCACTATATTCTTCGCAGCACAATAACTAGTAGATTTAAAGCTTGTGTATATAGCTATTCAATGAGCGTGTGCGAGTGGCATGCAAAGTTTTACCATACGCCGAATACGCGGGCGTAGTGACCCTAAATGTTACTTTGTGGTGGGCTATAGCTACTAGCTCCTATCTTCCTTCGATAGTGCGTCCTTAGACAAATTTGTTTAGCATATTCTGAAGCGAAACGGCGTTTTCCAGTAAACCATGCCAGAGGGTGGGGGAAGGGGACTGCGGATATATTTTTTCCTTTCACGTAGGGTTCATTACCGTGCTTTCAATTTTTTTGGTACATAAGTGTTCTTGCAGTCTACCATTATCAAAATGGCGCTGGGATTGAAACCGTAAATTGCTAGTTCTTGCCATACTGTGCAGGTTATCCCGGCTAAAGTGCAGCCTTTTGATCAAAGCACTCTCATCGAAGGGCTTTAGGTCTCAAACATCCGTGCAGTTTAAGCTCACGTTCCAATTTTCGAATCGCAGTAGTCAACAAAGAGAGTCATCCGACTACGCACGCCTCGTATTAGTTTTGTAGCTTTTAAACGTGAGACGCCCGAAAATATTTTGCCTGTTTCATTTAACGTTGCACGCCCAGTAACCTACAAGCCTCGAATGAAACGCGCGTTATCAGTGGTGCGCAGCAAACTTGAAAAGAAAGAAGCGAACACACATAATCTTAAACTCAGGGGGTTTGATTTTCGGCCATGGCTGCCGCCTTTGGCTCTACATGAGTTGCACTGACAATGGTGTATTTAGATTGCGGCCCATGTGTAAGAACCACGGGTAGCTGAAATACATGAAAGACTGCCTGTTGCTGCGTCGCTATCATATGGAGATATAACCTCCTGCCACCATCGTTATTTTTTTTTAATTTCAGACAATCTTACGTAACGCAGTGTCATCTGAAAAAGGTACGAGGTGCGTGCCAAAAACTGGATTGCGGCGCCGGTGGGCAAGGCCCTGATTGTGCGCGTGCGCGCCAAATTCACGTACGAACCGCACGTGGCCCGAGCCGTGTTGGGAAAAACCAAGAGGTGGATTTCGAACTCTGATTTATATGTAGTGTGTAGCGTCACGAAACTACAATATGAATAAGAGAGACGCCGTAGCAAAAGGCTCTGGAACTTTCGACCACCTGTAGTTCTCTAACGTGCACCCAAATTTGAGCACACAGGCCTACAGCATTTTTGATGAGGTGGCACTCTGCTGTAGGGCTTTGAGCTGCGAAGATCGGAAAGGTTAGCGTCACTACAGCGATGAAAGCAGTAGCCACCCGGTACAGAAAACTGTTGGGGAAGAGGTCCGTGGAATGGCTGTCGATCTCGGAAGACCCGAGCTTGGCTGCCTGGACTTTCCGCTCTCTTATACGTCGGTTCCTGGGGGCACTAAAGCTCTTCTAATTTGTGCCAGAATGGTTTTAGCCCGCGACACAATCAGGACGCCATTGACAAGTTGGGTATAACTCAGCCGATTACGACGAAGACCAAAATACTGGCAATGAGAACAAGGAGCTCGTTCAGCGGAAACAGACGGCGACTTTAGGAACTTGTGGAGGATGTCGACGACCAACTCGACGAGCCGTATACACCGCAAGGACACGGAGTTGACGTGATAATGTGACAAACCGTAAGAACGTTTCCCTACCAAAACGCTACTTGGTTCCAGCAGGTCGCGGGATCGAATCCCGGCTGCGGCAGCTGCATTTCCGATGGAGGCGGAAATGTTGTAGGCGCGTGTCCTCAGATTTGGGTGCCCGTTAATGAACCCCAGGTGGACGAAATTTCCTGAGCCCTCTACTACGGTGTCTCTCATAATCATATGGGGGCTTTGGGACGTTAAACCCCACAAATCAATCAGTCACGCTACTTGGTTGAATATCGGCTCGGGCTACACTGTAAAAAATTACTCCGAGGTCGGAGTAAAACACCTGTCCTCTAGCGTCCCCCCTATTCAGAGCAATTTTTGCTCCGGATATCCCGAGCAAAATTTGCGCTCCGGCGTGCCGAAGGAAATGCGTGACACAATCGGAGTACTTTTAACAGATTTCACTACGGTCGACCGGAGCAAGTGCGTCGCACCGTCGGAGTATTTTTTACTGGCATTTTCTTCCGGCTGGCTGGAGTGATTATGTTGCACCCCAAAGCATTTTTTCGCAGGTTTTTCACTCCGGCTTTACGGTGGTTTTGTGCGGTACTTCTGCAGTTTATGACAGTTTTACTTCGCCTGGACAGAATTTCAGTGAGGTGAATCAGTACTCTCTAATGTACTTGCTTCGCTGTTTATTTATTGTATGCTGATAGTTTCACGCATTAGTTAGGTGAAAGAAGTCCCAATTCTCATGTAAGCACTGCATAATTACTGTGTATTCTTTTCCACAGAGCTCTAGCAGATGAAATTCAAGAAAACACTTGAGTTATTCTTCTTTCATTTATTAAAAATGTGCTACAATTTCCAGATGACTACATGGCATTTGAAAAAAACAGACAAGAACATACATGAAAAAAGCCACCAAAAGCAAAACACAGTAAGGCAAATACCATAAAATTAACAGCACTCAAGTTTGAAGCGCAGCGCGTCAAAATGAAACACATAATGCTGCAAAACGATACACAATAAACATGGAAAGCGCGGTCATCGAGAACAACTCTTCCCCATCCCTGAAGGACCATCCATAAAATTCATTGACGACGCAAGGGTTGAGCTGACTGCTTCTTGCATAATTTAGGAAAAAATAATTATACATGAGAGCTACAAATCAAGCGAGGGGCACGAAAAACTGAGAACACTGAAGCCACGGACCCTCAATAAATATTATACAGCCTGTGAGTCCGTAAAAAGAAACAACTTATAAAGCTGACCACGCGCGCGGGCGCGCACGCGCGCACAGACACACACACATACACACACAAACAACACACACACACAGAGAAGAGAGAGAGAGACAGGATGAACGTTCAATATCGAGAAGCACATCCGTTTTATTACGGTGTGGGTCAGCCATGCCATAATAAAAACACACACCTTTGACGCGAACAAAATTCAAAACTGGCCAAAGATACACATATATTTCTAAATTAACAGCTCTACCTTTGCTGAAACATTCAAAAGCAATTTTGATTAAAATTTTCTTATTTCGGTACTCTCGTAGACGGAACCGGGAGTGTCCCTGCCAATCATTTCCTAATTTTGTCAAATGATAATGCTGGTTATTACAGTCAGATTGTAGTGCACGCTCATTGTAATACTTAGATTGCATTGCGGCGGCCTGTCGTTAAAAAGAGTGTGGCTTCATCTCCTTTGGAAAATAACTTTCAGGATAAGTTGGTACTGTTTCGTTTTAATTTGCACTGCCCGCTCTGTTTTGATACTTGTCGTTGAGAAAAAAATTTCAAAGTCGTTATTGTGTAAGCATGTATTTCTTCAAGATGAATAGCTTCAAGCCAAAATAAGGAAAAGTTCACTACTACGTAACGAAACATAAGCAATAAAAGGCACAAACAATACGCCACCAACACCAACTGCATTTTCACAGACATAAGGGAAGTTCAACCACCTTGCTCAACTTAAAGGTCCGTGTGGACGTCCGGGGGCCACAGAAGTTGAGGCATGCGGTAGTGTCACGACGTGCCAGTGCCTACTCCTCGAAGAAATTTTCTTTTCCCTTTTTCTGCTCACAGACCAACATCGTTTTTTTTTCTCCGGTCAAAACTACGTGTCAGTACTGATTGCGCTCCCGTCTTTTGCCAAGAAAAAAAAACTGCAGTCACAGCAACGCCAGCACGACTGAAAAAAATTCAGCAGCAGGATAATAATCTCTCCCATCGTCCACACAGAAAACATGAATAGTTTATTTCGAAAGGGCACCTTGGCTTTTCTCTCTACCTTTCACTGCAATGTATCCTCCGTCTCGGAATGTTGATCTGGGCTGTCATACAGGTGCACTTCACTAGCCCCCCCCCCCCCTCCCCTTCCTCAGAACGTCGAGCGCCGCACGACTCGTCCTGCCAAACAACTCCTTTTTTTGTTTTGCATACGTCGTCCCCTGTATCGTCAGTTTCTTTCGCCCCTCTCTTTCTTTTCCTCAAAGTACGACGTCCCCCGAAGAGTCCAGTATACGTCTAGAATAATATCTCAGATACCACTTTTGCAACCGAAATAACTTTCACCCGTATGAGTACGTGTATGCGTTCTAAACATCTGTACCATACAAATTGCTATAGATCAATTCACTACATTTATAAAGAATTAACACAGATTTCAGTTATTCAAGATTTCTTAGTACAGCTTACATATTCTATCGAAATAATTTTTACGCAGTGGTAGACCTTGACGTGGCGTCCATTGATATGAAAAGCGCACAAATTTTACCGTTTGTGTATACCGACAAGACCAAAAATATCTTTTAACCAGTTAGATTTGCCTATAACAATTATTAACGTTTGTTTGAATCAACCGAGAACTACACACTTTTTTAGTGTTGCATATTTAACCACCGCTCCAAGTATTACAGTGACTTGATTAAATTTGCTGAAGTTATTATGACGTAAATGTAGCGCAAAATAGGACGAGCACAAGAAAGTAAACAACCACGATAACTTGTGGTGGTCACTTTTTTTATCTCGTGTTTTTTTGTGCTACATTTACGTCATAATGAATTTGTACGAACTCGCTCACCTCTCTACCGAAGCTAT